TTATGACTGGGAACCGCTGACTTGTAGCGATAATATTATTTTTAATATTATAATAATATATACCTAATGTTTTTGTTTGATTAAAATTTAAAAATGTGAGTTTTACATAGCTAATGTATGGGAACTTAAATATAAATAACACCTATTCAAAGTTGAAACATTAATTGATTGTTCTAAAAAATCGTGGGATTGTTTATAACATAAAAATGTTAATGTTAATGTTAATGTTAGAAATAATCCAAAATTCGAATTAGTCGATGTGTATATCTGCAAAGAGTATTTTAAGTTTTTGTCTTATAGGAAATTCAATCAAACGAAATGGTTTCGTTTCAGCAGGTAAACAAATTTTAAACTCGACATTTCAATTATTATGACTAGAGGTATAAGCAAAAAAAAATCATGTAAATTTTTAAAACCCTTTGTATTGGTTAAATTAAATAAACTAAACTAAAGTAACAACAAGTGGAAATAACTATATTATACTATACCATAAATTAATTAATCAAAATAAATGTTACACTATAATTATACTATCTTTTTTAGGGCTCACTAAACTGTTTTTTATTTTATATCTAAAACTTAAGAGTTTGTATTAACATTCTCAAAAACTTCGTGGTTTTTCCATTTTTCATATTCTAAACTTTCCACTGAAATTTTAGTAGTAAAGAAAGTAATTTGAAAAAAGAAAACTAATGATAGAGATGTAGAATAAACTATTTAGTTATTTTTAAATATTACAATAGCAGATTAAATTACTATTTAATAGTTAAAAATTTTAGCTTCAATAAAAAGCTGAAAATTAAATGGTTTTACATTGATGTTTTTAATTATTATTTATTTTTGTAACTGCACTCACGGTATCTCCAAAACCGATTACTTGAGATAGTGTAAGATAAATTAATCACTTGGAGTAAATGCTAAAGGGGGCAAGCAGTAATAGAAACTAAACTTATTTCCTTTGCCACCCTTCAACATAACATAACCCTAAACGTATCCACCAAATTACAGAAAAAAAATTGTATGATCATTAAACCATAGTCACATTTGTATTTAACATAAACTATACATTTTCTAATCGCCCAATCAATATGTTCAGATAATTATTTACAATTCGGAAAGTTTATAAAATATGTTCGTTTACCATTGATAAAAACTGATTTTAAAGTAATAATAAATCTTAAAACTTTGGTATGTTCTTACCAAACGGTAAGACAAAATTTAAAAAAATCAAACACGTATTAGATTTTATTAGAAAAATAACATATTAAGGCTAACAAAGTTGTGTGTATATATAATATTTTTTTTATAGCACTAAATATAGCACTACATTTAACAAAAATAATACCAGGAATCATGATAAATAATAATTCTAATTTATGGACACGATATTTTCAGATGTCAGGCACAATGGGCGATACAAGCCTAAATAACATTGTTGTTATACTTATAGCGGTAATATTATTTTTATTAGTTCTATATTATAAAATAGTAAACCGCAGAAAGACATCATTGGCAAAGCGGATACCAGGTTCAGATGGAACCTTTTTCATGGGTTTGGTACCTGTTTTACTTGGAGGAGCTGAAAAAATATTGACGAATGTTTTGAAATTGTGTAGAAAGTAATTACGCTGTATCCACGTATATCTAATATAAAATTTCATTGCTCTTTTGGTGTACTGAATGTCATGTAATTTGAGAGCAACAATAATTAGTTTGTTGTCTTTGTGGTATAGATACGAAAATACCTTAATCAAATTTTGGATTTTAAATGGCTTATACATATTTCTTAACAACCCTGAAGATATAGAAGTGGCTCTTAACAATCCTGATCTGTTTAACAAAGCTAAACATTATAAGGCGATAAACGAAACAGTTGGGTGCAATGGAATATTTTCAAACAGGAATTTTCAGGAATGGAAAAAGAACAGGTGAATTTTATATAATATTTATATATAATCTATAACTATATAAAAACCAAACAATTATAATTGGATAAAAGAAATATAGCATCAACAAGGTGTAACACATTTAAAACAATAATGAAAATTTGGCTTTTTAATAATAGGAATTCAATTTTTCGCCAATTATTATCATTTTACCTTCAAAATTACCTAATGATATATTATTATATCTAATACAATTTGAATTTGTGCTGATACTTATAGGAAATTGGTAACTGCGGGGTTAAAATATTCGATGCTTAAAATGTTTGTGCCAATATTTTACGAGGAAGCAAAATTCTTGGGCGACATAATGTACGAGAAAAGGGAAATCAATTCAAATGAATGTGAAATAAGCTGTGCAATCGGAAATGTGACTATGGAGATCATCGGAAGAACCGCTTTGGGTGTAAAATTTAATGCACAAAAAAACGCCAAACACCCATTTGTGGAGAATACTCATATTATTCAAAACGTAAACTTCATACTTTTATTGTTTATTAACGCCATTACATTAAACCCGGCCTGAAAAAATTTTTTTTAAATCCGGAGCCAGATAATTTCTTGGGCATTTGCTTCTTGGGAGGCTCAAATAGATTATTCATAGCTTCTAGACAACATTGTGTGCTGATCTCGAGAATATCTAGTGCCGTTTATAAAAGTATGATAAGTACCACCAAGGAACATTTTTTTGAAATTCTTCATTCCTCTTCGCTGTACTTACTATAGTCTAATATTGATGTTATGTTCAGGAATTTTTCTTTCAGAATTTTTCAAAAAAAATGTTATTTTGGCAGTTTTTTGGCCCCTTGAAACTAAGGCTAGGGCCATGGTCCCCTTTGATCCCCATTAATCTAGATCTGCAGTGTAAACGAATTATCACTACTCCAAGGCATGCTTTATAACTAAAGTATCCTTTGCCGATAGTGTTTTAGAGCTTGTATGTGTAATACAAATTTGATTTTTAGATTTGGACATACCGAGTAACACACCCGTGGCTTATGAACAACAGTCTGTTTAGGTTGTCGGCGTTTAAACGTAAACAGGACATTATTAAAAGTGAAATGTATAATTTTATTGAAGATATAGGGAAGAAAATAATTACAGAATTGAAAAAAAATATAAACAGTCAGGGAGAACATAACAAAGAGTGTATTGGCCTTAAATCTAAATCTTTAATTGGGATACTGCTCGAAAATGGAAATCAGATGACATTTAAGCAAATACAGGATGAAATAATGACTGTTGTAGTCGGTACGTGTTTTTTTTAAATATTTTAATTGGAACGGATTGGTGGCATGTATATTATAGGGGACCTTTTAAAATGTTAAGACTCAGATTATATACTTATAACAAGTTACCATTTTTTTTTTATCATAAAATCTGTGATTAGTCAAATTGATTGTATGGTATGGATAAAATTTGATAATAATTGGTCAAAAAATATGGTTTTAGCGGGTCAAGACACAACATCTCTGACGAACGCATGTACAATATTTATGTTGGCTCATCATCAGGACGTACAAAATAAAGTAAACTATAACTTGTATTTGGTTTTATAAATAAAAAATGAAATATTATAGATATTCGTGGTAACGAAAAAGTTATATATTTTTTATTTCTTGCCAATAAATAGGTGTTGGAAGAGTTATTGACAATATTTTCTTCTGGCGATCCGGACAGACCACCTACCTATGAGGATTTACAAAAAATGGTTTACTTGGAACGTGTAATCAAAGAAACTCTGAGACTTTACACGGTTGTTCCTGTGTATGCAAGAAGCGTTGAAAAAGAAACAATGATTGGAGGATATTTAATCCCTGCAGGTACGGCAGTAGACAAATTCGTTTGATAGATTGCCACATTTGGTGCCTAAAATTATTACTAAGTTAAGTAATTTTTCAAAATATCTACAGGGTCAACGCTTGTAGTTTTCACTCATCTGTTACACTTGAATGCGGAATTCTATCCGGAACCAAAAATGTTCAATCCGGACAATTTCTTGCCAGAAGCATGTCGCAGTCGCCATCCGTATTCGTTTCTTCCTTTTAGTGCTGGTTACAGAAATTGCCCTGGTATCAAATATGCAATGCTTCAAATCAAAACTATCATCTCAACGTTGGTCAGGTCTTATCGGTTTTCTCCGTCGGATAAATGTCCCAAACCTGAAAATCTTCGTTTAACCATAGGGATGACACAAAAATTTGTCAACGGGTGCTACGTTAAAATAGAAGCGAGAACATAACCAATTATTGAAGCAGGATTCTGGGTTATAATTCTTTACATATATTATGGATAAGGTTGTTCGGATAATTACCTAATCATATTGGTAAAGGGGTTCGTTTTATTTTATTTTTCATCGGTTTCGGTTAACTCAAATATTAACTATAACTAATAAGTTATATAATTATGTTCATTGGTTGGTGTTGTCTAGTCTGTCAATAGATTTTCTTTAAATTCATTAAGCTTTTATCATCGTTTATCTGTTAGTTAATAAAATCAATATATAGGTACCTACTTATTAATTATTTATATTTGGCCTTTGTTATAATAATTATCAAAATAATATTAATCATTGAAATATTAAAAATATCATATTACTTGTGTATTATGTCAATATTTATTTAATTTGAATAAACCCTGAATAAAAAAATACCTGATGATGTCGAAACCGGATTGGTGTAAAAGTGTTTAAAGTTGCAAACAGCCTAAATGGCTTATGTAGCTTACAAATACAAAATTCAGCAATTATAAAATACAGTCCAGGCAAGAGAATATGTATATACCTCTAATCGCTATGATCATAACGATTGGTGAATGACTAATGAGACAACTTGTATTACTTCTTAATTATTTTTAAATGTAAATTATTTATTATTTAACAAACCTTGCTAATTATTTTTTCATACTGTCCATTAATCGGTAAACCTAGTAATGAAAGGTTTTCAGTAAACACAATTAAATTAAAAAATATTTACAGTCTGCACAGTTTCTTTACACAATAAGTAAATAGGTTTTGTGTGAAGAATCTAAAGTTATACGGTTAGGTTTGATGTTGGTATGAAATACAGAATGTTGCCTATTTTAGTATTACAATAATTAAACCATTGATATCGTTAAATGCAAAATGTATTTTTTTATAGTATCTCATAGAACATTAACATGATAAAGATGAATGAATTTATAAACATGATACTATTTGTATAAAGGCAATGAACATTTGTAGTTACTAAATTACACAACGAATACGAGTTGTACATGAATTTTCATGGACTATATTTCCGGCAGACTGCATTAGCTCGTTGTTAGTTTTGAGGTAGATGAAGTTGGGTCAAGTGATTGTTGATGAAATTAATATACGAATGTAATCTCTCCGCATAGAACAAGTAGATACCTTTTTGATAGCGTACCTGGACAAACTGATTCCTTATGGCGGTTTGATCGAAAAATTGGTAGTCCGGTCGACACGTGGAGAGCAAAAAATCTCTTGAGATTCCAGCCAGTTCGTTGCCCAGTTGGTGGACGTCTTCAAACTTGATCGATGCAATACTCTTCATGTTAAAACTTTTGTACTATGTATGAAAAATCGAAATGTCTATATGTTTTTGGTTTGTGCCACGAAGTAGACAAGTGTTTTCGGCGTAAACTAACCGACGCAAATTGCACGCATTGTTTGCTTAGAGCACCGTCAATTTTCATAATTACAAATCTGAATAAAAAAAGTGACGAGGACGTATTAAATTTAATTTTTTTCTTCCACAATTATTATTATTATATACAAATTGTCTAGTAGTATTGGGTCGGTACAAAGTGTTAACAGAGCATGTAGAATCGTGTGGGTTACTGGCCTAATGGAATTTAACTGCAACTAAAAGTGTCAAACGCTATTTTATATAAATATTTCAATGCCACTCTAAAAAAAAATTGTAGCGCCAGAATTTAGCGTTGAAAGTAGCACCATTGAGTAAATATTGCACAATATTGTACAATGTATAAGACTATATGTTGTTTATTAAATTTTAAGTCATTTCGTTTCTATATTATAATGTTATAAGAAACTCTCACTTCTTAGCACAAGCTTTTAGCTTTTTAGAAGTGAGTCAATATAATTTATTCTTATTTTGTACTATATTACTTTTTTGTTGTACCGAAAATTTTATATTGGCAAAATAAACTAAATAGCAAATTTAATCGATGCGATTTTTTGCATACTGAAACTTTTAGAGTTCAAAATTTCACTCGAACCGACACACGTTGTCTATATTGAAAATCGGAATGTCCTTTGCGTTCGTGCCACGCAGTAGACAAGTGTTTTCGCATAAAACAACTCACTCACAGCGTAGCCATTGTTTGCTTAGTGCGTGTGAAAATTGATTGTCTATTCGATTGTTTTAATAATCTGACTATTCGACTCTTAGCCACGTTCGTTGTATGTTTTTACGGGTATTTTTCAAATCTTGCAAAATTAATTTAACCCACTCCCCGATGTCGTAGAGGGCTAAAACTTGGCACAGACACTCATCGTGGATGACAGTACAATATCCTGTAATCATATTGGGACTCGGACATCCAGGTCGCCCTACGCAGGGTCAAATGTGGGGGTCACTCAACGAATTTAGACTTTGTTGAATAGGGCCCACGTTTTTCTTTTTAGTCAAAAGATGTTTAACATTATTTAAAATTGTAGTTAATTTTCGGTTGTTTTCAAATTAATTGACATTTTAAATAAAATATGCTGCAATTGATTGGTAAATTGTTCTTGTGAAAAAATTATTTTTTACTTTTTAATTCACTTTTTACTATTTTTTTTTTAGAAAAGCGTGTTTTTCACTATATCAAACTATATAAAAAGGCCAATAGTCAAATACTGAAGTAGAAATGTTTAGTTATAAATGGGGGGGGGAAGTACTCGTAAAAAACAATTGTAATAGGAAAGTTAAAAAAAACGACGGCATATGTTATTCTATGTTCAATGCAACAAAAAAAGAGTTATATCAATGAAGATTTAATCATTTTATTCATAAAAAGTATTAGGAAAAGTAAATAAGACACGTTCGATGAGTACCATAGATTAAATATAAGTTTTCTCGTTGTACGGTAACGCTACCGGTACTTTTCAATTAAAATTATTCAGTTAATTTTCTTATAACTGCAGAGTGCTACCGTTGAGTATAAATAATAATAATAAGTTTATTTTGCCAATATAAAATTTTCGGTACAACAAAAAAGTAATATAGTACAAAATAAGAATAAATTATATTGACTCACTTCTAAAAAGCTAAAAGCTTGTGCTAAGAAGTGAGAGTTTCTTATAACATTATAATATAGAAACGAAATGACTTAAAATTTAATAAACAACATATAGTCTTATACATTGTACAATATTATACAATATATACTCGATGGTGCTACTTTCAACGCTAAATTTTGGCGCTACAATTTTTTTTTAGAGTGGCATTGAAATATTTATTTCAAATAGCGTTTGACACTTTTAGTTGCAGTTAAATTCCATTAGGCCAGTAACCCACCCGATTCTAAATGCTCTGTTAACACTTTGTACCGACCCAATACTACTAGACAATTTGTTTATAATAATAATAATTGTGGAAGAAAAAAATTAAATTTAATACGTCCTCGTCACTTTTTTTATTCAGATTTGTAATTATGAAAATTGACGGTGCTCTAAGCAAACAATGCGTGCAATTCGCGTCGGTCCGTTTACGCCGAAAACACTTGTCTACTTCGTGGCACAAACCAAAAATTTATAGACGTTTTGATTTTTCATACATAGTACAAAAGTTTCAACATGAAGAGTATTGCATCGATTAAGTTTGGCATTTCCATTTTTTTGGCATGCTTACGCGACAATACCGACGGGTGCGCAGACACGTTAGAACTTTTGCTCGGTCGCGTTCAACAACCACGACACTGGCAATGGATGTGGTTCAATGAGTTCGGCAATGTAAACAACCGGATGCCACTATGTAGAATATGGTGTATGGATTCTACACTCGGTCCGGCGGATAGGCTGCGAATGGTCTCGCCAATGATGGGATGCGCTTACGGCGTGAAATTGAATTGGTTCCTTTCGATGGCGCTCGTAGCGACCGACGAATGTCACACAATGCATCGCAACAATAACCGGTACGCAGGCGATTGTTTGGACCGACTCGGGGAAGCCGTCGGAAATGGCAGTAATGTCATCGAAACACTGATGGACGCGTTGGCGTACGTAGATTCCGTAATCGATGACGATATTTTTGAAAATCGATTTTACCGACAACTCGCGTCGGTCGACATATTTTTAATGGGACTGATGCGCATAGCGTCTAATGGACTCTACGGGTATCCAAACCTAGGAGGTGAGAATATCCACCAATTGGCCAACGAACTTGCCGGAGCCCTAAGTGCGTTTTTGCTGTCGATATGCCAACCCAACTTCCAAGTTTTCGATCTAACGGCAATAAGAAACGAGTTCGTCGCTGACCGCCATCCAAACGGTATCTACTTGTTTTATGTAGAGAGGTTACATACTTACATGAATTACATCAACAATCATTTGACCCAACTTGAGATACCGGACGACTAACAAACGTGGTAAATTTAAATTCGACGTGCAATCGTCTTGATTGTGTATTTTATTAGTTACAAATGATTTTTTTTTCCTTTATATAAATATTATCATTTTTACAAATTCAATAAAATTCGTTATTTTTTGTCGTGTAATGTTTTATGAAGTACTATAAGAGAATAAATATTGGATTTAATGATTTCAATGGTTTAATAAATATAATGGTACTCATCAACCCTGTCTTATTTACTTTTCCTAATCTTTTGTATAATAGTCAAATAGTCAGATTATTAACACAGATGAATAGTCAAGTAAATAAACCCTTGCTGTACAAAACATGTTTCTATACAATGATTTGATAATCCTTATGATAAATTGTCTAATAAAAATAGTTTAAGAAAAATCGTATTATATTTCATTTTTGACGACGTATTTTCTATTTAGTAAAATTTTAAATTGATGATTCAATACCTATTGGTTGTATTACTATAGACATTCAATTTTCATTTGCTTTAAGCAAACAATGGCTGCGATGTGCGTTATTTTATGCAAAAACAGTTGTCTACTGAGTGGCACAAATGCAAAAAGTATAGACATTGTGATTTTTTTCTATAGATTACTTTGCTCGTTCCAGTGAAATTTTTAAGTCTAAAAGTTTTAATATAAAAATAATTATGCTGTGATGGTTTTGGACTGTACTTGGATTTTTTTCAAATAAAAAAAAATAGTGTAGCATTTAATATAATAGTATTTACACTGTTCTATTCAAATACATGTCCAGTACTTGTTGTACTTGTTGTGACTTAACTTCAACTAAAATCGTCGGTCAGCCTGCCGCCAATCCTGTTCCAGCCGTAACTCCGCTGCACGCATTTGCCCCATTGCTTCTGCCATTGCGCCCGCTGCTCGGCGCTGGACTTTGGGTCGTACACGTCTGGGTCGCAGCGGTGATTGCCGAACTTGATGTTGACCGCGAGGCCCGCGGCCACGGCCACGCCGTAGACGGCCATGTCTCTGCGGTGATTCTTGATCACCCGAATGCCGCACACGTCGGCCTGCTGTTGCAACACGTCGTCGTACTCGGAATACGAGCCGTCCATGAACGCCGTGTGGACGGATTTGCGCGAGTCGCTCTGGGACGCGTTGAACGCGTCGGCCACGGTGAAGCACATGGAGTCGACGGCGGCGCGCGCCAAGTGCTCTTTGCTCGTGTCGCCGGTGATGCCGCACATTATGCCGCCGGCGTCTGCGCGGCCGTACGGAGCGGACGACACGCCCTCTTCCGTGGCCATGTACGCCGGCGTGCTGGGGCCGGCCGTACAATAGACGTTCATGCACTCGGCCGTCGACTTGAACAACGCCAAGTTGCTCACCAGACTGGCCACGGCCATGTTGACCTGAGACGTGGCTTGCAGCGCGTACAGCATGGCGGAGTTGGCCTTGTGGTCCGCCGTAACGCAGGCCACCACCGCGGTCAGGGCGGACGACGTTACCGGACTGCGGCCCGTGACGCACATCACCGTCACGCCCCGTTCGTCCATGGTGACGCTCGCTTGGCCGGCCGAGTCGCAGCCGTGTCCGCAGAGCACCGCGTTCGGCCGGCTCATCACCGAATACACGGACAGGCCGATCAATTCGCCGACGGTGACGACGGCGTACAACGTGGACGGCGACGGCGCGCGAATTGGCGGCAACGATGCCACACAGATGTTGCGGTCCCGGCAAACGGACTCGTCCCACTCGGGGCCGGGCAAGGCCATCAGACGGGTCTGCGAGGCGTTTGTCACGTCCGTCGTGTACACCTGCCCGGAAGTGAGCATCCACAGCGTCCACGTGTCCCACGTGCCGAACCGGCATTTGTGGCCCGCGCGCTTCACCGGTTCCGAGTGCCGCGTCAGCCACTCGACCGCGGCGTCCGGCCCGTCGGCCGCTCTGGCGTCCGTCCGGTGCACGGCGTTGCACAGCACGCCGCCCGTGTCGGCGTTCCACGCCAGCACGGTGCCCGGTTCGTTGGTGACGCCCAACGCTTTGATGTACGTCACCGGCAGTCCGCTGCGGCACATCTCGTTGGACACGTTGGCCACGACCTCGTTGACGGCCGCCCACACCTTGGCGGGCTCCTGTTCCACCCAGCCCGGTTGCCACGCGGCCGCCGGCTGTCGACAGTCCGACGACGACGACGACGACGACGACCCCGTCGTGAGCATCGGCAGCCGTTTCGACGAAGTGGCCACTTCCTGGCCGGTAGTCGTCGAGAACACGGCGAAGCTCACCAGATCCGACTCGACGCTCAGCGCGCCTATCAATTCGGCCTGCGGTCTTACCGCCATAACTTCAAGTTGGGTGCATTACATAACTTTACTCGTTTATCGAATGCGTTATTCTTAATCGTTAAGTTTAAGACAAAAATAAACACAATTATAATTACCAGGAGACCGTGTTATAATTATTTTTAGCCAATATAAAAAAAAAAAATATAAACACTCAATATATATCATATAGAAGGTTTACATAATAAGAAAAAAAACCCTTTTTGGAATATTTTCTTAAATTTTTTATTTTCGTGAAATTTTACATAGGTAATGTGACTCAAAACCCAAATGTAAACATAAAAGGCATATGAGAATATGTAAAGAAGTGAGATATAAAATATTAAAATAATTATATAATAGCAATAATATAAAGGAAATGAAATATAAGATACAATAAAAAAATATTGCTTGAAAGAAAATAATTAATTTTTTTATAATTCTATTACATTTGAATCGTTGCTTAATAACCATATCTTTATTAGTAATTTAAATGTTACAACATTTTCACACTTCTTAATTTGTGTTTTGGTAGCTTTTCAACAGTTATCAGATAGGTGTATATTTATTTAACAAAACAATGTTGTGTTTGCCCGTATCTGATTGTGGTCCTTCTTGTGCACATGAAATAGGCTCGAAATTGTATTTTTTTTCCGTTTATTCACTGGTGCATTGAGTTGTTCATTTTTTGTGGCAACAGGCTAGAAAAATATGTTTTTAATAAAAATGATCAGCCTTAAAATGTATTGCCTACCCAAAAAAAAATCTAGTCTGGAATTTTTCAAAAACATATTAACATTAATATTTTTGTATTTGCTGTTGTGATTAAATAAAATATATAAAATTGTATTTATTATATGATAATAAAAGTTCTTTAAAATTGGTTAATAAAACTGAAAAATATTTCAAAATCTGTTTCGAGTAAAATTAACACTTGTCTTAAAACCATTTTAACTTTAAACATATACTTTTTTTGTAATTATTAAAAATGCATCGCTGGGTTAATACAATACATTATTATTTAAATTTCGCTTATTTTAGATCTGATTATAATAATATACTAAAATATATAAGTTACCTTTTTCAGGTAAGCTTAGTAAAAAATATATTTTTCTTAGGACATCATTTATACCTATATCAGTATCGTTTTAAATTTCGAAAATTTTACCCTATTAGATAATAATACTAGCGGTCAATGACTTATAAGCCAACTAATAGTGTTTATAGTTATCAGTCTACAGCCAGCGTTGCCAGTTATTATCGCTTATTATTTGCGCTACCTTTGAAAAAAAAAGAATAAGAAGAAATATTTAAAACACATATTGACATAAAATACTTATATTATTTAATATTACAATTTTTTTTTACTATTTTTGAAATTCAATATTTGAACTTATCTTAGCTAAGAACAGGTTTGTTTTAATAAATAAATAAATTTAAATATATATATGTATGTATATAAAATTGTAATCCTTATAAGTTTTAATTTAAGTACATGTTTATTTTTAGTTAGGAAACCGGCTTAACTAATCATTACTGTCAGCCGTAAATTGATAAAAAGCCTTAGAGATAGTTATGAAAACGAAAAATATTTCAAAAATCTGTTTCCATTTATTTTTAACACAATAAACTTTGTACATTAAAGCTACCTTTAATTTATATAAATTAGTAATTGTTGATTTAAATATTTATTAAATAAGGATTTTTGATTAATTATATATTATATTATTATATTAAATTACAACAATGGTTTGTATTATTTCAAATAACCTGTAACATTTTCTTTGGTACTACTTTTTTGTTGTTGACCAATAACGACGATACTTTGTCAGTGAGCTAAAAATAATATTTGATGATATTAATTAAATAAATATTACAATTATTTAATAATGCGTTTATTATATCAGATCAAATTTCAGTCCATTTTTATTTATAACAATAATTCGAACGTCCAAATATTAGTAAGGGTATATGTAAGTTCAGGTTTAGTAAAAAGTTAGTGTTACTGTTTTGTTTTGCAGGAAACCAGCTTAAGTATCCTTTACCGGCAGACCTTAATTAATACAAGTTCTTTACAAAACGAACCAAAACAAAATGTGTTTTGCCAAACCTAAAAGTTTTGCTACGTAAATGCGTCGATTAGCTATATCAAATTAGGTCACAGTTGTACTTAGATGTTGTTCTAAAATGTTTTCCTAGTATGTGTGTATATTTAAAATATCTACACTATTACAAAAAAATGTTTATAATTTACTGAAACCTATGAATAACATAAAAAAACCTTTAAAAACTATTATTTACCTAAATACCCCTTCACGATCATTAAGTCTAGCGCTTTATTTTATAATCTTCGTGTACAACTATACAACCATAAATGAACAAGCAATCATCCTGAGTGTTTCATTGATTTTTTTAATTAACATAATATTTAATTTGTATTTCTACCTCATTAGTGCGACTCATCATTACATCCTATAATACCCTACACAGTATTAGGATTGAATATCTTTAGTATACGGTTGTATTTCAGCATTGTAGGCACTTACTTCGCTGCCCTCATGTTATGTATATTCATTAATGTTTACAAAGCCGGATGATGGCCCAATTACATAATTTTAGATTTACAATTTTTCCTTGCTGGCTAAAAGGCAGAACTTTTGTTTAGTAAATTGTTAATATTTTAAAAGCTATTTAACGTTATTATACACAGGATGATCATTGTACCGTGAACAACTTAATACCTCGTAGAGTTTAATAAGACATTTTTTTTAATGTTCATAAAAAATGTGATCTCAATCTAGCTTTGGCCTCATATTTAGACGTAAATCCTTAAGACTGTGCTTGAAAGAGTGAAATAAAGTAAAAAATTCTATCCCTTCAAAGGGAACAGATTTATGATGAATTTTTGGTTTGTCTATTTTTATTAGTATTTGTTTTGTTGTTCAAATATTTTTTTGCGTGGCCGTAGAACTTCGATGTTCCAATAATTTTAGCGAATGACTATTTTTTACATTAAGATTCAGTAATATTCATTTAAATTGTCCTAACATAAACATATTTTATTATTAGTACTTATTATTTGATCATTTGATTTGATTGTACAGAAAATATGTACAAATAATATTTTCTTCACTGCAACAAAGTTGAAAATTGCAGCACTTTGCTTAAATAGTATGGCATGCATGATATACCATATTGTCTAATGGTGTAGGAATATTTAATTGCTAGTGTCAGTGTAGCTATGGAAAATCCCTGGACGTCACCAGTTGTTAATTAGTCGGACTTTGGGAGTTCTTTAAGGCAGACATTTTTATATCTACATACAATTTAAAATTTATGTTTTATTTTATAAGTGTAAACCGTTGGTTATTCTTTTTTTCTTTCAACTCAAGGCTCGGTCTATTAATATGATGATTGATTAATATGAACAAAATAACAAAAAATGTGTAAACTATAAAAAAAAACACACATAGGTGAAAAAATAGGTTTTTAAGTATTATAATTGGGTTTTATACAGCAATTGTATTAGCTATAATATTTGTAAAAATATTAATAATATTTTGCGAGTAAAATTCAAACATTCAATAACTTAAAAAATAAAACAAAATAATATGGCCAAAAAACAACTAGTTTTCCATAAAAAAAAAAAATTAACTAAATATAATAACAGATTCCTTATCGTAAAAGCTTAAAAAATGTGTAATGCTAACAGATATTTGGTCGACAGTTATTTGTCTTATGTCTACATTATCAAACGACACTAAACGTGTTGTTGACTTATGTACAACACAGAAAATTTAACTAAGATTAAAAATTTTAATTGAATAAATGTAAAAACCAATTAAAATGATTAGGGTCATTATTTATGTACATATAGAATCAATTCAGGGGTGCCTCCAGGGGGGTCCTAGGAGCCACAGCCCCCTCATCAGTCCCCCTTGAATTTGTGTTGTAAAATTTGTTAAAACTACGACTTAGTAATCCCACGATATCTTCCAAACCGCTATAACTGGCTTGAAAATACTAACAACCGATTTGCATGGAATCGTTTTTTCGAAAGTTATTTTATCACTTTCAGATTTAAAAGTTCCTGTAAACCTGTGACCTCCCCGTCCCCACTATGCTCCTTCTCCACAATGCCCTGACTCCACTGTAATGGTTCTTTTGGTTTTCATTGTGTATCAATACAATACGAATTTTTTCGGTTTTTTTTTTCATCGAAAACGAGCGTTGAAAATGTCCCAGTTTACGTTTTTGTTACATTAAGATTCAATCAAATTCAATTAAATTGTCCCATTATAAACATATATTTTAATTATAATTACTTAATATTACATTTAATATGATTGTATAGAAAATATGTATCAATTATATATTCTCACCGGTAAAAAATTTAATAATGAAGAATAAAATAAACTATTTTTAAAAATTCTTTGGAAATTTCCTGGGCGTTACCAGTAGTTAATTGTTCGGACTTATATCTACAAACAATTTTTTAATTCAAGTTTAATTTTATAAGTATGATTATTCTTTGTTTTTTAGAAACACCTTGTTTTTGTACAACCAAAGGCTTGGCTTAATTTATATGTGGTAAAAATATGAACACAATAATAACAGATGTATAAACTTCAACATAAGAAACACGTAGGTGTAAAATCATGTTTTGGTGTATTATTATTTGTTTTTATACAAAATTTATATTAAATGTACAATGTTCGATGTTCCAATAATTTAAGCGAATTCGGAACATCGGGAGTACTTTAAAGCAGAACCTTTTATATCTAAAAACAGTTTTTAAATTTATGTTTTTTTTTTTATATGTATAAGTCATATATAATGGTTACAGTTTAATAAAACATAATGGTTATAATTTATTTTTGTTTGGAAACATCCCTTTTTGTTCAACTAAAGACTCGGCCTATTTCATTTACATCAATATAACAAAAATAATAAAAAATGTGTGTTCACTAGATTAAAAGACATTCGTAGGTAAAAAAAACCTTTTTTTTAAGTATTACTAT